GAATGCCTACAGTTGAGTCGTAATATTTTGACGTGGATCCTGTGACCGTTCACAGAGAAAGTCGCGGCTGTTTCTGACTGGTCACCGGGATTCAAACTGGTGTGTGACTTTATGACTGCTCTTCGGGGATTTGTGACTGTTTGATTGGTCACGGGATCGTGATCGGTCATCGAGACGTGACTGTTCACTGAGTCCTACATATATATGTGTGTGTGTGTGTGTGTGTGTGTGTTGGCCTGTCAGTGCCTGAGGTGGGGTATTCACCGACAGGAGACTTGGTCGGATAGTGACGATGCCGACACTCTCCTCGTCGCCCCCACCTCGGTGTCCTTCGCGAGGCTTTGCAAGCCCGCGAGTGGAGCAAACTACCGTACGAAGACGACGACTTGGAACGACTCGGAATGTTCGCTCTGTTGTGGAGAGTGATGGACCAGTTCTACAGTCCATTTCAAAACTATAGACACGTACCTAGGCAAAAACCGTTATGCCAGCATCTATACCACATAAAATCTGTGATCACTTTGTGCATAAATTTTCCAAATTGGGCGTCTGTTATCCAATCCTTTAGAAACTATATGAGAGTAATTGTGGAGCGATCCTGAGCAATATTCCGAAAACTATTCTCAAAAAGTTCCAGCCAACTTTGAAATATTTCAAAAACCCTACGCGTCTATAGTTTTGAAATGCACTGTAGCGCCAGCCGTGAGAGGAATCGTTTCCGATGATAAGCCAGAGCCATAGCTGCTGGAGATGGCTCTCTCGAACATGGTCCCGCTCGTCGTTCTATATTGTCGGCCCCGTAAGGGGACACGTGACCGTAATGGCAGTGTTTACCAGGACCAGGACCAGGTGTGTGTGTGAGTATGTGTGTGTGTTTGTGTGTGTGTGTGAATGGGTGGGTGGGTGTGCTTTTGTCCAACCGGTTGGCTACCTCCTTGCCAAAGCATTTGGAAGTTGGACCAGTTTCGGCTCCATGATCCAGTGTGTCGTTACTATGGCTTTCATAGTTGAGGTTGTTGGTATATCTGTTAGCCCTGGGTTCCCAGTACTCAGCTGCCGAGGCCAGTTGGAAGAGTAACTCCAATTCAGTGCTGCCAACCTACTGGGTCCTTTTGTGTACTGTGGCTTCTGATGTTCCGTGTTTTGCAGTGTTTTTCCATACTACCAATGTCCTGCCGTGCGCATTGCTTGTGTTGTGCTTTTTCGACACGCACATGCTCGTCTCTGGCTGAATTTGCTAGTCCAAAACATGTGGGAATTGTACCACGACATGATATTCTGTGCTACATGTAGTCGAAGATTGGCATTCACTCGCTGTGGCACAGGGATACTCAGTGTTTAGCTTGCGTTTGCCATTCTTCTACATACATATCTGTAGCTGATCGATCCTCTTCAATTTTCCATACCATTTTGCTCAAATTCCGTCCTGCGGACAAAGGAGTGATTTCCCAAAAAATATGGAGGTGGGCAGCACTGCAAATTTCACATGAAGGTACCCATGCATCTAGTGGCTGCGTATATCAAAGCAGTATGCTGTCTATACTTGTAACCCCAGCAAGTGTAGGGTGTGCATAGATGTGTCTTGGCAGCCCTATCCTGATGTGCTCCATGTCATGTACACCAGGTGTGCATTGGTGGGTTGATTCACATGACTTTGTCAGTTGTGTGGATTAGGCTGTTATCTGGAACTAGTCTTGACCTGTTCCATTCAGATTCAGATCTGCTATCGTTGCTATAAGAGAAAATCTGTGGGTGCGCATCCAGTGCATTTGCAGATCTACGTGTTTCTTTTGCGACCGGCATGTACACGGTACATTGTGTGTTTGTGTGTGTGTTTGTGTGTGTGTACTTGGTCCGTTTCATCGCAATTGTCGCTTACCTATCGCAACTAAGAACAGGTGTTTTTTTACCGCTCTGTGAAATTTCCAATACGCATAGTGAAGAAGCATGATACAGGATTCCTGTCCGCCACAAGAAATAAATTCAGCGATGGAATCTGATGAAGCAAGTCGAAGAAAGGAAGCAAGGTTACAAAAAATGTAGGGGTCAAACGGGTGTACCTTTAACTAGCGAACGGGTAATTTTCTTAACGGGCGGGTTAACGGGTACCCTTTAGCAGCCATATTATTTTTTTGCGCATTTCTCACATAAATCATGATTTTAATTTGTATATTCTCAGGTTGTATTTTGATACTACATTATGATTCGCAATTGATTCGTGTATCATAATATTATTATGGCAATGAAGGTTCCAAATGAATGTCATCCGTGCATTTGCCCATGTACATAACTTCGCAGGCAGTAACTTACAATCGTACATGTAGATGGTCCTACAAGCTACATGTATTTTGATACACTACGCAAATCAACTGCAGATCGATGTGATTCAAGCCATGCAAGGACAGAGTGGTTTAGCAAAACTTCCGTGATCTCGCGCAATCCTATTTGCTATGTTCGCAGAGAACTGGTACTCGTTGCATTCAGAAGATGTTCGCGCCCATAGCTAGCTGGGGTGCCTGACACAGCTGATGTGCTGCTGGCCAGCTAGCTGCTAGTGCTAGCTTGTTGAACTCATGAAATGAATCTTCACAAATCCGTAATCTTGTATGCAATATTTCGAACTACTTTTCCAGCTAGTCGATTGAAGGAACAAACTACAACATGAGTATCATATATCTAGCTACCACCTACGGACATCACCGTTTGTGACACTCCGACTGGTCACTCAGCCTGGTGACACTAGTTCATCAAGTACCGTGGCAGGTTCGATGTCGGAGAACCATCGTAACTTTCTAGTTACTCAGCTGCCACCTCGAACGAGTTTCAAGTCTTGCATTTTCTCACATCACAATCAAAAACCTCCAGTACGAGGATTTTTACTTGCACTCGAGTGGAGAGAACAACTGTCAAGTCTGTCTTTCAGCCTGCTCCTGCCTGATAAAGTCGAAAGCGGGAATGCACAGGAAAAAGGAAAAGAGTATCCGCACTCCTATTTTGCGTCTTGGAATACGATAGGATCACCTTTTTTTTTTTTTTTTTTTTTTTTTACAAACGGGTACCCTTTTTCTAACGGTACCTGAGATTAACGGGCGGGTACCCGGGTACCCGGTACACCCGTTTGACCCCTAAAAAAATGTACAAAAGAAAACAGCGACGGAGCGCCTTCTTGCACTCAGGCTTTAGTTTATCCGACTCTGGCTCTGTATCACTCGAGCTGATGCCACTTGAGCTCACATTCACTGGTGTGTATAGCTGCTAGCGTAGAGTACCGTATCTCTTGCTTTCTCCGCTTGGCGTATAGCAGCGATGGGAAAGGAACAGGCGCGGTTGTCACTTTGGCACTTGGAGGAACGTGGGCAGCGTGACCCGTCTGTCACTACAGTACTGTGTGTTCAACAATGTTTTTGAATCAGGCACACATCCCTCTCCAGACAGCTGTCATATGCTCTGCTGGATATGCTGACCACGACTGTTTTACTGCCGCTGCCAGATCGGACAATGTCTTCTTTGCCACCATCTCACCACCAGTTTGCAGGCTTGCAAAGAATACCAGGTCATTGCAGTTCAAACATTGCAGTTCAAACAACTGAGCTGGCTGGCCTGGCCGTGACTGTCACGCTCTCCAGGTCATGATGTCGATTTCCCCTGCTACAGTTTCGGTCTTTGAGCTGCGCTTGGCTTTTCGCTGCAGTGAATGTGTGCATTCACTGCGTGTGCATTCACTGCAGTGCATTCACTGCAGCGAAAAGTTTCCCACTTTTCCATCAAAATTGTATGAATCGCGATGCCACTGGCGCTAGTCGCGATGGTTTTTTTCTTTCTGGTCTCCTCTGATCTTGCCATCACAACCTCCCAAACGAATGTGAGTTAGATATCGAGATTGGACTGGGTTTTACCTGTCAAAAGGTGCGTGGGAGATAAGCGACAATTGCGATGAAACGGACCAAGTATGTATGTGCCTGTGTATGCGTGTGTGCACATGTGTGTTCGTGTTTGTGTTTGTTTTTGTTTGAGTGAGTGGCTGCAGTGATGTGTCTGTAGTCTAGTGTAGGTTTGTGGCATTTCTTGGGTGCATTCACGTCAACATGGGGGTGTGTTTGTGTGTGTGTGTGTGTGCGGGGGGGGGGGGGGGGGGGGGGGCGATACCGTTGATATCTTTTCTGCACATTTTCCTCATCCACTTATTGCGATGTGGTTAGCCCAAAAGTGCGGTCATACTTTTCGAGTCCACCCGTAGGTTGGGCAGGTTGGGGATTTGGAGACTGTCAGCTGTTTGGCAGTTCAATTAGCCGTCAAAGAGCTGATGTCAGGCTTCTTGAAAGTGCATACATTACTGGGGGTGCAAGAACAAAGCCCCTAAGAACAACCAGCCTAGAATTTCACCAAGCACACATACCAATGTATGCACGGTGACTCGACAATGCATCAACTGTATGTAGTACATGAATATAGGAAAGGACTAGGCTAGGAGGAATATACAGCCCGATATCGAGACTCAACAGAAACGGCAACAAGGACTGCGATGTTGATCCCGAAACCACAAGTGCAATGGCATGGAAAAGACCATTAGCAAAACAGCACTAAACGTGTACATGCATTTGGCTTCAACCCGGGGGGGGGGGGGGGGGGGGGGGTATGAGGCACTAGTCAGACATGGCGTTATTCAACATACTAGTAGTGCTCTAGTCTGGTGAGTATCGTATGTGTGTATGTGTATATGATTGTGTACAAGTAAGATTGGAACGAAATTATATTGCCGATTTTATCCACCTTACTTGTAGGAAAGCTGTGCCGTTTCGGGCTTGGCGTCCTTTGTGTGCAGAGAGGATTTGACCTACTGCGTACATGTGTGCATGTTCGACGTTATTTGTATGCGCTGTGTGTATACATGTGTGTGTGTATGTGTGTGTGTGTGTGTGTTTGTGTGTGTGTGTGTATTTGTGCTTGTGAGTGTGTGTGTGTGTGTTTGTGTGCGTGTGCATGCGTGTCTGTGTGTGTAGGAGTATGTGCCCCGATATGACATGCAGTACTCCGAAAGGGATTCTGAAATGTCCGCTTACTATGGGATGGGGAAGTGGATGGAGCGACGGAAATCACTGACGTTTTCTACCTACTAGTATACCGACCATATCAGAAGAGACACATGACGATTTATGGCAGAGTACCCAGGACCAAGAAAGGAACAAGGTATGTTTGCCAGCTAGTTTTGTGTGTACCTGTCACCTGTGTTGCTGTCAAATTTTATATACGGTAGAATCTCGCGGATAACCCCACCCGCATAATTATAAGTATGGAATCAAGCAAGAGCACGAGTGTGAGATCGCCTAATCACAGCCCGCCGCGCGAAGCGCGAAAGGCTGTGATGTAGGCTGATCGAAAACGAGTACGAGTGTTTTGATTGCATTTCGGACATGCACCCAGGCCATGTACCCGCGCTTGAAGTATGGAATCAAGCAAGAGTACGAGTGTGAGATCGCCTGATCACAGCCCGCCGCGCGAAGTGCGAAGGGCTGTGATGTGGGCTGATCGAACACGAGTACGAGTGTTTTGATTGCATTTCTGACATGCACCCGCGCTCGAAACTCATATCGAACTTGCAAATACTTCGCGAAGGGCTGTGATTGGCTGATAGAACATGAACACGACTGCTTTGATTGGATTTCTGACAAGAACACGCACTTCGATCTTCCTATCGCGCTTGAAAGCACGACTCTCAACCTTCTCGAGCCGGAGTCGAGTAAAAAAAAAGCGAGCTTGATCAGTGAATCAAAGCCCTAGTGGAGCGGGCTTTGATCGTAAAATCAAAGCCAGCCTGGGCGGGCTTTGATGGGAAAATCAAAGCCCACTCCACTAAATATGGAGGTCTACTTCTTGTAGCATGCTTTGATGGCCTCATCTAGGCCCTGCTAAGTGCAATGCGATTGGTCATCGCCGTGCCTACAGTCTTGTGACATGTCGGAAACTAATATCGAACTTGTAAATACTTCGCGAAGGGCTGTGATTGGCTGATAGAACATGAACACGACTTTTTTGATTGGATTTCTGACATAAGCATGCACTTTGATCTTCCTATCGCACTTGAAAGCATAACTCAACCATCTCGAGCCTGAGTCGAGTAAAAAAGCGAGCTTGATCAGTGAATCAAAGCTCTAGTGGAGCGGGCTTTGATCGTAAAATCAAAGCCCGCCTGGGCGGACTTTGATGGGCAAATCAAAGCCCGCTCCACTAAATATGGAGTTCTACTTCTTGTAGCATGCTTTGATTGCCTCATCTAGGCCCAGTTAGGTGCAATGCAAATGGTCATCGCCGTGCCTACAGTCTTGTGACATGTCAGAAGCCCATGTTTGCGCATAAGCCCAGGGAAAGTTCTAACATCACAAAGCTTGATCGTACAAGCCCATGGGCCTAAGTCGTACAAAGAGTCCATAGATTATGGACTAGAGTCCATAGATCTTGGACTAGATAGAGTCCATAGATTATGGACTCTTGGTCGTACCATGTACGTAGTATATGTAGTTTTTTTTTGTACATTTCAACACAATCATCGTTTGTTTTTGTGGCTATAAGCAATGTACTTCTCACTTCTTTTGTATTACCCGATGCACACTTTTGGTGTCAGCGTATGAACCCATGTTCTTGTATAAGCCCACCGAAATATCCTTGTGAAACAGAACAGGCCATGTTCTTGTATAAGCCCACCGAAATATCCTTGTGAAACAGAAAAGGCCATGTTCTTGTATAAGCCCACCGGAATATCCTTGTGAAACAGATAAGGCCATGATCTTGTATAAGTCCACCGAAATATCCTTATGAAACAGAAAAGGCCATGGGATTATCCGCGGGATTCTACGGTAGTTAGTTTCAAAAGTATACATACCTGGTGACCAATGAACTTCTTCTGGCTAGTTTAACACTTGTCTAATCAGTGGTGCTAGTGTAGGCTATAATACTGTACAGTGGCGTGCACCGAGTCTCGAAAGGGGGGTTTCTAGAGTTGGTTAATTTTTTTCTGGAGACCCACTGTATACTTATGTATTTGTGCACATGCACATCCCCCGAACATCCCGTCGGAGGTAACGGCGAGGGCTAGGGAGGAGGGAGGGGGGGGGGAATCAAGACCAGGGGTGCAGGGCACCAATGAACACTGGTGCTGATGAGATGCGGGGCTCGTCCGACTGCTTTCATCAGATCATGCCGGCACAAACGCGTCTCAGAGGGAACCAGGTACAGAGGTAGAAAAGAGTAATGAGGAATGGAGGGAGGGGACGATGTTGCATGGAAATGTTGGGCCATTGATAACCGGTAACAGGATAGAACGGGTTACCGTTTACGTACCAGCACTTCAAAAAGGATTTGCAAAGAGGGTGCAAAAGTCAATGTACTCGTATACATGTTTGTCATATTGAACACGTAAATGTTAGATAGGCCTAGCCGCCCAGGCTACACTACAGTCTATAAGACTAGTATAACACTATGTCTATGGTACTTCACTACTTGTAGTCCACTTCATGTTTGTTTCATCAAAACACTGCTTACATTCGACGGATCTTTCTTTCTGTTCTTATGACGAAGTTTTCAGCATGTATTAGCAATGTTCCACATGATTTCAATAAAGAGTTATGGGCCTTGCTTCGATGGAAGCTCGCGGAAGAAAAGCGAAGTCCCGCGTCCTTGAGTCGCGGCCGGAGCACCGCTTCGTTCTGAAGCAGCGCAAGTGGATCATGGACGCACATTTTTACGTCTTCCAGTCGACGTTTTTGACGAGCATTTCTGCTGCGCACATGAGCGAGAACGAAAGGCTGTGGAGATCTTGATTTGAGTCAACAGTTTGGAAGGAGATATCGTCAATCATATCCTTGAACTGACTTGCATCGCGCGTGCTTGACTCAAATTTCGAGACCGTCTGAGAACGGATTTCTTGAACGTCATCGCCAATCCAGGAACCAACCAGAGCTAGAGATCGATCTCTCTGTCGCTACTCTCCACAGAAGAAAGAGAGAATAATGTATTTTCAACTGCATGCAAAGCAACTCTCTCTCTCTCTCACTTCGAAATAAGGACATAGTCACTGTACTGTAAACTGCCCGTCGATCGACGCGTTTGCAGGATAACCAATCCAGTAGGCACGCTTTTCCTTTGGCAAGATTGCCCGAAAAAAGGTGGTTTCCAGACACCAAAAAACTCATACGGTGCACGCGCCTGCTGTATAGCAGGAATTTTCGGACGGAAATTTTTTCGCACAAATCCAAATTTCAACCTTTCGGACGGATTTTATTATTCGTACAGTGCTGCATGCTAAATGCACGTGTTCACTTGCAGAACCTGTGTATAGTATACGTATTTTTGCATGAACAAATTTTAGTATGAACTTAGAAGTATGGTATCAATTTTAGTACAAAAGAGACTGTGTACGAAATCGTATGAAAATAAATTCCCGCCGAAAATTTCCTGCTATACACAAATCATATCCACTCTGATTTAGCAGACAAAATGGCCTTCAACTTGGGCATTAGAAAATGTCGTTGGATCACAGGGAGAAGCGTGGACACTTTATCTCAACCTTATTCGTCTTCCTCCGAAAAAGGCCATAGAACACTACGAGCGCTGACTGCCTGTGCGACTCTCCAGAATGTAGTTAGCGTTCTTTTGGCATATCAACCATGGTCGCTGTCATGGCTGTTAGTCCAGAACAAATTCATTCCTCTAGTGTTGATTACCAGGTAAAATGTATGTCTAGCATGTAGTAAGTGTTATGCGCTTTCCTGTGCGGTTCGTAAATGTTTTTTTTGCGGTTTTGTTCTTGGTGCTGGTGCTGTTTTTTTTCTTGCAGACCAAGAACACAGCAAGAATTACGTTCCTCAAATATTCAATAGGAGAAGGCAATCATTGGCTCATTCTCTAATGATGGCCATCCCTAGCCCCGACCACCAGCCCCTAGGTGAACTTCACTCTAATAGCTTCACCGTACCAATGAGTCAAACAGCAGAGATGTGTGAAGCGAAAGTAGAGATTCTTCACCTTTTGCTTAGGGCCTGTCACTTGTAATTTGTGCCTGGTGATAAGACTGAGGGTCATGTATTAGATTTCAGCTGTGCAACAGGCCCAATAGACCCTTTGCACAATAACGGTCACGTGATCCGAGACGGGGCATCCTCTTCGATTTTTGTGCAGAGTATCAGTTGTTGAGCATGGTGGAACACTGTATTTTTCCATTTTGGAGATGGAGGAGAGAGTGTCGAGTGGTTTGCCATCGATGGCTGTGGAACCCGTGGACGAACTGTCAAATGAAGATCGGTTGTGTAAGGAACTGAACAGTTTTCTGCTGAATGAGGGTGCGTATCTGTCTGGAAAAAGAAGGAGTTGTTGGAGCGGTAAGTTTTCCGCATTCAGTGGATATTTCGGATTACTGTAGATTGAAATTTATTTTTATTTTCTCTACCTTCTCTCCTCTGTCGATGTAGAGAACACTTCTCTATGCAGAACCCTGATGCTCCTAGAACTAAGAAGGGCACCACTTCCTCGAGTGTACCTTCATCATGCCCAACATTTCATGCGTCCCAGTGGATGAGTGATGAACCTCTGTTTCCCAGAGTGAGTGCCACACCATGCTTGCTCGTCTCCAACGCAGGGGCAAGTCGCCGACGACAGTGAAGAGGGAGCTGATGGAGTAGTACTAGTGAACAAGCCCGTGGATAGTGTCCATGAGTTTTACTTTGGTGGCTATGTGCATAATGTGAAAGTCTGTCATATCGTGCACACAGCCACAGCTCGAACTCAGATGACTTTCTCCGCACACCTGAGCGATGAGGCCGCGTCTCTCTCCACTTCAACAACAGCAACTCGAGCAGCGCCAGCAAGCAGTCGATCTTCCAATAGCGAAGACAGGGATGGGTCATGCCTTTTTCTCAAGCTCCAGAGTCTCTTGGCAGGGCGTTCCATATCTTCGCAAAAGCAAGGATGAAAGTCGTCATGGACAAAGTGTTCCGAGCACAACACTGTAAACGATATCGCAGCACTGCGGCCCTCGGTACCCGGCCCTCTTCTCGCCAGATAGCCAGGATTCCAGAGTGTGGAATGCCAGCATCACCAGGGAACGCATGGAAAGACAAGTGGGTTCCTTAGACTAACGTTAGTGACGGTTGCTGCAAACAAGAACCCAACAGTGGTCCTTGGAAAGCATTTCGGGACTTCTTCCTTCAGAACTAGAAAAACTTGAAAATGAAAAAGGCTGGGGAGTACATACATGAACATCGCGTCGGGACCGTGAAAACACAGCCTGTCACAGGAAACTTGATCACGTCCTGCAGCAAAACCATGCATGCTGGTTGTGCCAAGTGTGCAGCGCGTGCACAGCATGCCCCGTCTCGACCCCTCTCGCTTATTGTGCAAAGGGTCTATTCATCAGCACGCTGCTCCAGCTCCCAGCTGTATTGCAATGTCTTCTTCCCCTTACAAAATTCTTTGTGATCAGAAGTCGAGCCCATTTTTAAACACACACGCAGCCCTGGAGGCTTCACAGCTGTCAATAATAATAGAAAGGTTTTGCATTCCGAATTTCGGAATGATTTTCGACTGTGCTTTTCCGAAAAAAGCGCGTTCCGAAAAACGGTATTTTCAGTGTTTTGCATTCCGAAAATCTGATTCGACTTCGTTTCCAAGGGTTGCCATGCAAAACAAAATGGAGAGCGTCGAAGGGGTTGAGCAGGATCAAATCCATGTGCGCAGGTCAAACTGAATTTGGGTGCGGTTCGAAGACGAGGACGGACTGATGGTGGACCAAGTGATCCAACAGCTGAAGACGAGGTTGGCGAACTACTGTCTTGTACTGTTAGTAGGCTCCAGGGCAAAGGAAGATAGAGTGCGATGAAGTGTGAGAAGATTAGTCAACATGGCGAGATCAGCGAGAGCAGCAAAACCAGCAAAAACCAAAACTACATACGTGGAAATTTTTTCAAATAATCGAGAGCAGCAGAAAGCAAAAATACGAACATGAAAAATACACTTTTTTGTATTCAAATTTGCACTCCCAAACATGAAAGAGCCGAAAATCCATTTTCGGAAAACCATGCACTTTCGCCACCACACTTCCGAAAGTTCGACTACTTTTTCGACTGCTGCCGCCACATTCCGAAAATAATTCAGAAATTCGGAATGCAAAACCTCTCTAATAACTATTATAGTGATCTGGCAAATCTGGGGCTATACGACTATCTGTACTGGTATGAACTATGGCAGTTTAGCCTTAGCTGATCTAGCAGAACTACAGCAACGTAATAGAGGCATGCCCAGCCACTGGACCAGGCGAGTAGCACCGCCATATGGTCCGGCCGGAGAAGGTGGAAGGGGGGGTCTTCCTGGAAATTTTTTTGAAACTAGGGTGCAAAATCCTGCATTCCTGGCACTTTTGGCATTGTGTTAAAAAATAAATAAAAAGTGGTCCGGCCAGAGCCAAAGCTGATCTTGAACACCGCAGCAGCTGTGTCATAAACGCCGCTCACTGAACCCACGAAACTCAGATCAGCAGCAATGTGGTGTGTGGTGTGGCAAGGTACAGGGGTCAACCTCACTGCCAGCAACCACAGTTATCGAACTTTGCAGTGCAATGGAACAATGCAAGAATAATAATACTGACAGGCATCACAGCAGCACAGAGTGTAGTAATGGCACTACTAACATTCACATCAACTGCCCTACAGGAGTGCTAGATGTTCATAAAAGCAGCACGCTGTAGCAGTGGCACTGCCAGCACTCACATCGACTGCACTCCCTAGAGCGTCAGTAGTAGTAGTACTAGTAGGACACGGTGCAAGACAGGCATCACTGCAGCACACTGTAGTGGCACCGCCGCCAGCGCACACATCAATTGTACAGGATAATGCAGGCAAGGCAGGCATCACAGAGGTGATCAGCGGTGCCACTGCCCACAACTGCAGCAGCTGCAATACAATCAACACACAACTAGAGCCAAGTGGCCACAATGTAGAGCAGCGGTCTGAGGACTACAAGGGTCTTGGCACTATTCACTATCTGTCCGCCATAGCTTCCAATCTAACATGTACTTATTGGCCTTTGAACACATACAACCCACTCACACAACTAACATCGTATTCTCGCACAATGCACCACAGCAGCCGTCAACTCAGTATACTTACCCAGACATGCGTACATCATTTTTTCTCCTCTCAGGAACACTCAACAATGAAAATATTGGCAGAAGAGAATGAACTAGAACTAGTAATGAAATAATACAAATTGCAGACGCACACACACATAGGTGTAAATATAAAATTTAAAAAAATTGGAGTATGATCGTGGCAATACGCCCTTGCTCTAGGGATGCAGATGGGAAAAGCGTGGGGCCACAGCCAAGCACTATTGTCGTGTACGATTACGACTTGAGCACATAATTACATGAAGTTTCTGTTGTTCTGGCACCGACCCATACGCATACACTCACAGAGCTAATAACATAATGTACTGACAATGTGAGGAAAACATTTAGTAATGTGTTGACGTAAAACCCTCTCTCGTAGCTAAACGTGATAAACAAGCAGAGATGATACCCGCAAAATGAAGCTGGGTTTTGTAATGGTGTGGTGTATGCCGCAAAAAAATCGTCCTGGATAAGTTATGCGTGCAGCACGAAGCCCAACGGTCATTAGGCTGATGATCAGAATTTCATGCCTATTGCAAACTTCACGCAGCTGAAGATGAGCACAGAGAAGCAGGTGCTGTCCGTAATGGCACCTCCTGGTGCTGTGTTACTCGGCACTGTGCTTAGCACACTGAGCACTATTCCTGCAGAAATTGTTACTCTCTATCCAAATCCCAGCTACTCTGAATATTTCCCTCGTGACAGACCAAATACACTCCATTGAATTCTGCAATGCACCTTTCTGTCTTACCGCTTTTCATGTTGAGAAAGCATTGGTCAATGAGCATCTTGTGAGACATAAAGCAGTGAGGGTACCTTCTCTTGAACACCAGTGATGCTATGCAGGACGCAGTTGCTCGCTGTCCATTTGCGACAGGAGTTCAGACAACAACAGGGATAAAGTGATGCACACATAGCTCCTGCCAGGGAAATCCATACGTGTACTCTCCAGTTTACTAGTTGACGGTATCATGCACATCTTGAAATGACCATGTGATATCAGTATCGCCATGCCGGGTCAGAACACCAGCTGCAGTCCATCTAATCCGATCTAGCGTGGTCCGAGCCACTGGTGTGGGGACTGGTCCGTCCTTTGCTCCGGAGTTGTCATCTCTGCTCACACGTGCGCTGTGACTGCACTCCCCAACTGATGTGGCTCCAACCAGTTCTTGTGTGGAAATGCACGTAACCAGTTACTTGCTCCTGTACTTCACGATATTGCTATCATGCTCGTGTTCGCTTCTGCAAAGTACACAACACCCATATGTATGCACAAAGCCCAAAACACAGTTATATAAGCAGTCATGAACATTGTTCGAGTGCTCAATTAATACCATCCAAAGGACAGAACCCATGAAACTGTGCAACCAGATCATGACACAACAGTTGTACATACTACCGTAAAGTCGCGGATAAAAGCCGGGCTTATAAGCACATAAGCAGCTGTCTGCATCAGGCTTCAATGCAAACCAGGCTTATATGCAAACCATGCTTATATGCACCACTGATATTTTTGCCAGGCTTGTATGCACATCGGCCGATCCGGGCTTGCATAGAAGCCAGGCTTCTACGCGCGACACGCGTAGATCTACCACTGACTACCGGTATGGCGGCAGTTTTACTATGCACTGTACATGGCACATGCACTCTTGACCTACCCGATCCGCGCTTGCATAGAAGCCAGGCTTTTACGCGCGACAGGCTTATATGCATTTGACCCGTTTGATTTTCAGGCTTCTATTCGCGATGTGCTTGTATGCAAACCCGGCTTTTATCCGTGACTTTACGGTATTGGGATCTTGTGCATGACAGATGCAGCATTGTACGTACCATTCTTTCGTACACAGCTGAGGCACCAATATATGAGCTTCATATCAGCAAGGAGATTGAAATGGCGGTTGGATATTCATTTTGCAGACGCTGCGGAAACACCTTCGCTGGTTTGCTGCGGTAGTCCAGCACATTGATCTTTGGGAATGCCCAAGTAAAATAATACAATACAATAGAATACAGGAGTTGGATTTGAATATGATCCGCTCATCCATTTCAGCATAACAGTTTCAGATTGCACAATTCCCTGTTCACATTAAAGTTGGTCTGTAAAGTGTTAGGATGTGCATACAGGAGAATTCTATCCAGGGTAAGTTTCAACCAACCATAATCACAGGTTGACTGGAGCATTTACATGATGATACAGGTTTACGTCGGGTTTAATCTAACCCTACCCTTCATGAACCCTCCCCCACCCCCCCCCCCCCATGGGAAAATAATAATAAAACCAACTTCAACTTTTGTTCCCATTTCAGGGAAGGATATCTGAGGTTACATTTGTTTGGTTATTCCAGAATGGGCATGGAATGCCGCCGGTACCCATCACGGAAAGGAAATGAGTGTAGTAAACAAACGCTCGAGCATGCATTCGAGAATCTGGCAATATTTTTACTTAACTCCGGAAACGACGGTCGAATGTTTTGTTTACGGGGTAAATGTGGTCATGTAGATCTACGAGTTGTTGCAAATGATGGCCTTGCGAAGACTACCGGTAGCCTACAAATGATGTAGCTGCTATTTTGCTTCCATAAGTTTCTACAGTCGTGGCCGAAGAAATCCAACACGCGAGTCAAAGGTAGCACTGCCTTTCCACTTCAATGACATCATGCACGTTTCCAAAACTTATCCGCAGTGGCCGCATATGCCTTGGTGCTGCTTTCGGCACGTGGGTTGGATTTCTTTCGTCACAACTGCGGTAATTTTCTCCAGAAACAGTTATGAGTAATATCCATGGTTAAACATTTTTCTTGTAAACAACCACCTTTTCATCTGTGAAGATTTACAGAGTTTTGAACCAGGTACTTGCCCACGGCAACTCCGAACGCCTATAGTGAATGACCCAGGGAGAAAGTCATAAATTATACCCCAATCCACTTATGGCGCACCTCCATTAGTAGAGCCCCATCTATAAACTCTACATAGACAACTTTACGTAAGTCGAATGAAAGCTCTCAAATTCACGAGTTTTTCCGCCCATTTTTTAAAGTTACTCCACTTTACGTAGCTCGGAACTTGTCAATTATTCATTGCATTGTGCAGAACGAGCCCTTTCTCGTCTATTTTCTGGAGTTAAAGATTTGTTTCAAACCATTCAAAATTATTGTGATGCCTTGCATGCAGTGGCAAAGCAGAGGCATAAACACTAGTTTGCCACTCAGATCTCATACACACTATCACAGATGGCTAACTTCCAACCGTATTCAAATTAATTTTACCATTCAAATCTCAATACAAACGACAGTGCTCCTCAAAGAAATTCGTTTTTGAAAGTGAATGCCACGCAGGGCGCTGTGCAGCCCTAGACCTGCAAACACTGTGAGGTGAACTAGTGCAGGGGAAGACTTTAGCCATGCGATCGGATTTCTTTGAGCAGCTCAATAAGCACAGGCTGAATGCTTTATTCTCACTTTTGACCAGCTCCCGCGGCCATTTCTTCAGCAGAGTATCCAACGTCCTCAGACCCAGCCCATGGAGATCAGCCATGGCTGCATCCTCACTCGCACATGGAGTTCCGTCTTCAGGGTCGCTTGCACCACCTACTATCAGTCTTCATATCTTTTGAAATTGCATTGACACTATTGCTTTCACACAATTCTTTTCACCTAGGTGCACACTATGACTTTGGAGAGGGTGTGTCGCGGTCGCATAACATCATGCCGTAGCCCCCCCCCCCCCACCAGGAGACATAGTTTTCAAATGAATTTATTTGTAGAATGCTTCCAATACCATTAGACTCCGCAATCCGAACTCTACGGACTCTGAAATTGAAATGTTTCACCGGACTTTCCCCGATGTTTGGAGCACACACATTCTTCCCCTCCCCCCCCCCCCCCTCCCACCAAGAGTACATAACCCCCCAGAGTGTGCAATGTCTGACCCAGCTGTGCATAGGGTCTTGGTCGAGCGTAATTGGATCTTTGCGTCATTGTACCGTACACATCTGAGGGGATATCTGGGAGTCGCGGGTACTCTCGTGTCAGAAACAACAGTGCCCTGCCTCGAGACCGGCGTTGAGCTGGTGTGGAGTGTACGCAAGACATCAGAAGATCCGACTACGCTCGACCAAGACCCTATGCAGAGCTGGATCAGGTGTTGCACACTTTGGGGGGTTATGTACTTTTCCTTTAACCCATAGTATATACTGTAATTCTGTACCATGCTGAGGTCAACAACTGACTAAGTATGCCACTTTCAACACCGACTACAAGATATTCGGTGTCAAATCCAGACTATCGTCGTTTTTCATCTTCTTCTTTTCTGTTGCGCTAAACGTCGCCGTAACTTAGATGAGGCATCAGTTTCTGTTTAGTTTGTTTGTAAAATGCGACCACATTGCGTATTCTGCAAAGATGGATTCGGGAAAGCAGGAAAACATCTGATGTGTTTTTGTAGGATCTACCATGACTATCCTCCCGCCAACTCTCAACAAGATGGAAGAATACGCTGTGCCAAACCACACGCAAGCTTGCTACGTGAGCGACTCATATAACATCACCGCCTCTTGGCCACAGTCACGAACAGTACCCGGTCGACCCATTCATGTCGGATAAAGTTAATTGCGATAAGATGACTCAGAAAGGAAGGATGTGAACCACCGAGATATTCGAAGTCGTCCGGATGATACCATCAGTACCACCATTATCCTGCGGAGACAAGGAGCTCCCTTGCTGTGCAAGCAGCCCCGTTGGATGGCGGATGTAGGCAGGAAGAAATAAATCCACGAAGATACATTCCTCATTTCCACAGCAGGATGCAGATTCGGTATTATTGCACACAATATCCTGGGCTTCCGTCTGAAGTGTGTAATCTAGAAATCCAGCGTGCGACACATGTAAACAAGATTGATAATGGCAGTGAAAGAGCCGGGATGCTACAGCACATAACAAGGCCGCGGACACACCAAAACAGGCTCAAACGTGGACAGCAGAATCGCTGACTGAAGTGGCGATCTGCACGCTCTCTGCACGGTAACACCAACATGCACTGACTGGTGGATTGGTTTTGCGTCGGAAAGTTGAACTAGCTACCAGCGATTTCCTTCGTTGGCCATGCACAACCTCTCACCTTTGGCAAGCATGGAAAACTCACTATTTTCTGTTTGTTTGACTTGTTTGCTGCAAAGAATTTGGTACGCAAACAACTTTTGGCAATTGCCTTCGCTTTGGTCACCGAGTCCATGCTGAGGATTGAACGGAAGGCTGAAGGAAATAATCAAGCAAGCGTACGGGCTACTACAAACTCGATCGAAGAACACAGATAGAACGGAGGGCTGAAGGAAAAAATCAAGCAAACAAATAGCCTAACCTGCACTGCTCGCCTACTTTCCTTGGTCAAAACCAAATATCAGTAGATGGCAACGAAATTTCACCGATATTCCCACCCTCAAACAATGCAAAACTCAAGAAAAAAAGGCTCCTGGCGGAATTCAGCCGGCCATTTGCTGGTTGAATTCCGCCCGCTGGAAGTGTCCGACGTTCCGCGATTTCCGTGGAAACGGCCGACAAATTCTGCACGGAATGGGTGGAATGGTGGAAATTTTGCTCGGTGACCACTGCCTAACGGAGCGCATTTTTCAGACTTGAACAAGTTTCACGCGGGTAAACACAATTTTTGATTGATATCTTGTGTTACAACTCTTCTTGTTGACAAGTGACTCACCATAGGTTCTTCCCGCACCAGGTACACATCTGCACATATCCCGAAGTACCAGACTCGGGCATAGAGTGCATGAAGATGACATCAGACCTTCTTTCCTTGTATGAAGATAACATCACACCTTTTATCCTTGTATGAAGATGACATCACTCCTTCTCTATCCTTGTATGAAGATGACATCACACCTTCTCTATCCTTGTATGAAGATGACATCACACCTTCTATCCTTGTATGAAGATGACATCACAACTTCTTTCCTTGTATGAAGACTGGACACAAACAAAGAACATAATCCGCAAGAAAATATCAATTTTCTTCATTATTCCATCAAGTCTGAATCCTTTCCAAAGCTATACAAGTCTATCATTGCTAATACGACACCGGTTACAAGACACACCTCATTAGCAGGCAACAATCAAAATCACCTGAAGCTTGAAACGTGTACGTAAATTCACGTACGATAGTAAAATTTCTACTGAAAATACAAACCATTTGGAAACCACGGGTTACCGGCTAACGAGGGCACAGGAATACATGTACGGAGAAACGGCTCAGGATAAAGAACTCTGTACATGACTTAAGGCCAAAACAAAAAAAATAAGTAGAAGCATGCTTCGTATCCGCAAACCTCAAACAACAGACTCAGTCGGCAGAAAAAAAGCGTCAATCGGGGACACTTGAGAGTTGTGATTTTGTTACTCCTCTGAGTTGTGATTTTTAGCCCGGGCCAAGCGCAATAAGAGGCCTTCTACAGAAAAAAAACTAAACTGATTCTTTGAAGGATTCTTTGTAGCTCGTCAATGTTAGTTGCTCTATGGAGCAGAAATGCTGAAATCGATTATTTTACTGTGTGCACTCATGTACTCAGGCATACAGTCTCACTTGCATTTTGGCAATTTTGGCTGGAATGGTTGCTGCTCTGCGGCCCTCGGTGTGCATTACCTGTGTTAGCAGATTAGCTGAAAGGACCGTTAGTATGTCTTGTTTCCGGTTTGAAAGTGAGAGACGACCTTCGTGCCCTGAAAAGGAGTAGAGAGCGACAAAGGTACGTCGGTAGCTGATTTTCGCGAGCTCCTCAAAATCTTTTAATGTAATAGAAAATTTAAAATTGCGGACCGAAGTCATCGCGGCGGAGGGTGTACAGTTTCCTTGTGGATTTGTAGTTGTCTCGTTTCGTTCCTACATGTATGCCAGTGTCATGATGGTGAACTGGAAAGGATAATTATTTTACTGCTTCGGTTGGCCGACTTTGTTTCGTCCACGTTGAAAAGTGACCCTAAAAAAGGGTCGAATCGTAATGATATTGATTGTCAATGTACGTGATGGCATGTTGGCTATGATTTTGGACAATTTTTTGGATCTTACTATAAATGATTCTGAGCAGAGGGTTACATGATTATTATGTTATATCGATGGAAAAGAGCAGTGCAGATCAACACGTACATACATACTGAATTCATGTACACGGTGTCTGCATTTGGATTTCAAACCAACCGGGTACACGTGTACCTGGCACAACTCTGGCAACCAGTTCAGACACGGGCAAGTTCAAGTATGGCTACTGTGCATCAGGGAGTCGTGAATATTTGACGGCACCCTGCACATGATTATACGTTAGAACAAAGAGTACTAGTAGTTTCAAATCTCCCTGGAGATTCTCTTGTTAGTACAGTAAAACTTGTAAGTAAAGACCACTGTGACTAGCAACCAACCTGGTACTACAGACCACTTCACCACGCACGGACGGTATCACATTCATATAGTATTATGGTTGTGCAGTGCAAACCTCTTACTACCCACCACCTGCCACTAAAGACTGCTTTCTCCGGGGCCAAGGGTGGTCGTTAGTCAGAGGGTTTACTAGACATGTATGAACGTACTGGGCACTCTGTTCACATGCGTCTGCACGAGGTGCTGCTTGTTATAATAGTATGTACCTTTTAAAAAGAAAATACTCGAAATGACGCCGAACATTCATTTCCCAAACGGTTCAAGTCCCCCCACTGGGTTCGTGATCCAGCTGGCCTTGCTTTGGAGCCAACACTGGTATGTAGTATGGCTCAGATCAACGTCACAGTTGACTGATTGTTCTCAACCAGACTGTGGAATCCTGACAGCTACTGAGAGAGGAGAATTGCCTGATGCATGCACACAGCACCAGTGCATAAACCATGCCAATGAACGATTTCGCAAGCTACTACTGTGCTAGTTCTACTTCTAGTACTTGCAGGCACAGGCATAAACCTATCGTATACAAACGCAGACCAAACACAGTTCAAGGATTTGGGTAAAAAATGACCCAGCCGGCCGAACAGAAAATAAGTGTTTTGTTACGGTGTTCAAACCTCAAGAATACTCTCTGTCATCTACAATAATATTTTAGAAGTTCTGGGCCATCAAATTTTTATATCCTACCGTGCACTGTCGCGTTGCCGTCGTCTTGTCTCCACAGCAGTTTGTCACGAGAAGCACCTGGGTCAACCCGCAATAAAATCTTGTGACTCAACCAAAATACAAACGGACTGCTGTATTTCTACTTCAAGAGTGTTGAAATTTCAAGTCTAACAACAGAGCTAGAGGCCGCAATATCTCCTTTGTCACAGAACGCAGACGTGAGACGCCATTGAACAAAATCAGAAAAAAACAAAAGTCCTCTTTGAAAACGTTTCTCTCAAAAGGCCTCTTTCGTTTCGTACTCAGCTACACGCACATACATCTGAGACCAACGATACACCAGGGACCATCGCAAAAGTTCGCAGAAGCCCCCGAAACGAAGACCGTGAGTTTCGGGCCTGACCCCCCTCCCTCCCCCCTCAAACGAAACGACAGTCACAATATGGGCTTCATTTTTTCACTTGGATGCTCACACATAATAATTATTATAATACTACACAAGCATTGTTGTATCAGTGTGTAACAATGTACAGCACTTTATAAATGCAACGATGATATCACCTTGCAGTGGGTGATCTAAGAACGAGAACAGCTAGAGCAATGCAGTTGTATCCTTTGAGCATTACAATGAACGTTGATTGGTGTATATTGCTTTCACATTCCCCATACGCGTCCTGACAAGCGATCTACGCCGGCTGTGATGGCATGCTAATCCTACAGCTCCTATAATTATGTCGTCAATACTTTTTTGAATTGAAGCCCGGTTTGCGATTTTCGCACCGACTCCCTCCCCCCCAAACGTATGCTCTTCGTTTCAGGGGCTTCTGCGAACTTTTGCGATGGTCCCTTACTAGTACAATGTAGTAACAAGACTTTTAGTAAGAACCTAGCGAGTCAGGCCAACCCGCGATATTCATGTTAAAACAAAATGGCGTCACGATTTATTGAAAGTGGTATAGTTGGTGGAACGAGTGTTCAAACCCATTTGAACTTCATACTGTTCGTCTTCTTTTTGACATGCTCTCTTTCCATCGTCCTTAGCTTTTATTTTTTGAGAGCTGTTTTGGCTTTCTCCTATACCTCTGGGGGATGCCAAGTGATGGTTTTGAGAGGCTGGTGATGGCTGTGAGCGAGAGTTTGCCGATCGGCGTCGTCCTCGCTATAGCGATGAAAATACTAGTTATTGCGCACCTGGCAGATATCACAACACGTCGGAGCGTCCAGGAGCAAAGGAATCTTGGGTTTTCACTGGAATCTAGTTCCTCCAGCATCGTGTAGCCCACCGTCGGTGAATGGCGGTCCAGAAAGGTCGAACCTGGTCTTCTGCAGCATCTCGCAGTCCTGCGAGGCACACTGAATACGCCTGTCATGTATTCTACAAATAAAAATCACGAAGTAGTGGACTTTACAGTGATGAGTCTATCCTGTATGCTGCAAAAGACGCAGGAAATGTGACTGGTGTCTGTACACTCAGTGACTGGACGCCAACACCTCAGTCTTCTCCTGCAGGATCTGTTTGACATTGACATTATGCAGTAGGTCGGCATTGACCTGGTTTGGCAGCTATCGTTATAGTATCTGCCTGGTTGGATGTAGCAGGTTGGTGTTTGCTCGTCGTCCAGTCCGGAATTTTCTTGTAACTCACGGTGGAGTACGCGCAGGGTTTGTGATCATCCCTGTTCACTTCAATATTATCAAACACAACGTTCCCTTTGTCACTCATCTTATCCTGAGTACTGAATTTGCTGACAATATTGCACCATACTTGTCACAACCTACCGCCACTGCTGGCGGTGGCGACTGGTTCGTCAATGGCGGTGACCAGGCTGACTGACTAGCTTCGAGACAGCGGCCTCGTTGTCAATCCCGCGGCAGCCTAAAGGTTGATTTTATTCATCCAGCCTCAGCGCCATGTTGACGATGCCCTAGTGACTGTGTGTCATGGATTGCCTTGCCATCAGCGGTCATTGCCGTCCACCTTGATGCAGCCCTCAACAACTGGCTCAGCCCATGGGAGTCTCAAGTGGACAAAATTGTTGCCAAAGTAGCTCAGAAGATTGGTGCATCGTGGTGTAGGTGAGCACATAACTAGGACTTCCCAGCGTCTATTTGTCCAGGCTGCGATACTATGTGACATGCTGTACTGCACATTCTTTTCAGCACTGCAAGGCCGGCAGCTGGACCGACTGCAGGGGCCGCGCACATGCAAGCCGCCTTTTGCCAGTGCAGCATTCTGGAACGTTCCTTCCTTCTGAGATCCGTGGAATAATAACTTTCTTTGCTTCAAAGCAAGTTGCTTACCTTTCTGTTGTGCTCCCAGTGTCCTTACAACAATAACCTACAGCAATGTTTTATTTTCCTTTCCATTCCCCAACCAATGAATACTACGATGTCGATTCTATTTCTTCATACTTTGGTGTGTGCCCGCGCACGCACGTGTGTGTGTATACCTCACTCCCCACTCGAAGTTCTGTTCCCCATCACTGGAACACTGCCTGTTCTTTCAGGACCTGCCATCATCTGCGGATGGGCATTCAATAATTGTATTGTGTGTGTTTCATTCAGAATCAGATCCGCTATCATTGCTATTAGAGAAAATCTGTGGGTTCACATCCAGTGCATTTTTAGATCTGCGTGATTTTCTCGCCACGGGCGCATACATGGGACATTGTGTGTGTGTGTGCGTCTGTGTGTATGGGGATATTGTCTGTATCGGCTTTTGGTACTAATGTTCAGGTCTGTGCTTGCATGTGTGAACATGAAATTGTTCGGTTCCGTGCATGCTATTGCTATGTTGTATATTATTGTATGTATGTGTGCATTTCCACGAACAGTGTAGACGAGCGTGGAGAGTGCATTCATCCCTCATCAACCACTTCCCCTTGGGCTTACGA